TATATATATATATATATATATATATATATATATAGTTTAAGATTTTGGTTTACGAAACACAAACAGTGCTCAATACCATATAGATAGAGCGTAATATAGTTTTTCGTTTTACCTCAAAAAACCACAACAGTCTGTTTCATCCGTATAGGAATCATCAGGTGGTGAGTAATTTCGAAATTGTAGGTTGCTTTTATGCTATCGAAAGAATGTGCGGAATGCGTGTAGGCGAAACAATGCTTAGGTGAAACAATGCATGCTTGGGTCATTAGGTTTTGCTAACGACCTTGTTTACTCGAAACCGGTTTTTGTGACGACATTTGCCGAAAATTTCGCTTCTTTTATTGAGTAAATTGTCTATGTTTATGTCTTTCAAAATGCAAAATTTTTCTTCCAAACTAAACGATAAAATAAACCTGGTTTACTTCATAAGATTTATTCATTAGATTTATTATTTTTTAGATTTATTTATTTATTTATTGTGTGAATAAATCTTATGAAGTAAACCAGGTTTATTTTATCTTTATCTATATTAGCTCTATACTTCGGTATATCGAGCACTCTACTCATATATGATTCTAAATACATATTTGGTATATGTATATATATATATATATATATATATATATATATATATATATATATATATATATATATATATATATATATATATATATATATATATATATAATTATATATATATATACAATGCATGCTTGGGTCATTAGATTTTGGTAACGACCTTGTTTATTCGAAACCAGTTTTCGTGACGACACAAAAATTTCACCTCTTTTATTGAGTAAATTGTCTTTGTTTATGTCTTTCAAAATTTTTCTTCCAAACATAAATTGCAGCGTTTTGATCCCCCTGTGTACGAAATAGCGTGTTTTAAAATTGACCATTTGATGGTATAATCCTGATTGTTTTCTTTTAATTTCCAAATATGTTTCGAAAGTTCCGTTTTGTTTGAGTCTTTTTTATGACGAAAAACGAAGTGTGGTTAGCGTATTAAATGTAGTCGCTGTCATACCAATGGAGTGTTTAGTGTCCTTCGTGTTGTTCGTTGTGACTGGGGCCTTATATAATCTTGTTTTGTAGGAGCTATTATCCAACTAAAGTGATGGCAGAAGGTAAGCTGGTAGCATTTTCACTTGCTGGTTGTCACAGTCAGGTTGTCGAAATCCAACCACAACTTTCTATACTATTTTTGATCAAATAGTCGATCATATATGATCGAGAATAACATATTCTTCTTAGCTTGCGTAACTCTATATGTTCCTTTCTGAGTTGAAATAAACAAGGAAAAGAACACTGATGTTATTATTACATGTAGATAGTCAGATTATTATACCCGTCCGCCATTTTGAACACATTAATACAAAAGATCTACGACGGCTGTCTTCTTCTACCACGGTAAGCAGAAGATATTTTCAGTTCAATTTTCAGCAAACTTCAGTTTTTTATTCTGTTTAGTGTTTGCAGGAATTGCAAAACTTTGAGCATTGGGTTATATTCAGAGTTGGACTGGTTGTCACTGAACCACAAACTTTATACTTATTATGTGTTGTGCTCATTTGAACAAACTTAAAACCATGACTCTTTACTCTTTGCGCAACCATCAACGATTGTAAAGCTCTTATGAAGATCTAAAGCCCCATATTATTCGTCTAGAACCCTTTCTAAATCAAGATTGTTGATTTACACCAGTCGAATTCAAAGTTCATCGTCTCCCTCCCGCCACTAGGCCTACAAAGGCAGTAAAACTGTACATCGCTTTCGGCGTAACCTGCAAACCATATAAGATCCAATCGCTATAATAATTATAATTTGGGGTTAGACAGATAGTCTCGTGTTTCTGTTAATGTTCAGGTGGTGTCTTTCAGGTTTTCCAGTTATATATTTGTAACATCCCCTGATATGACGCGAATTATACGCAATGTGCTGCCAAGACAACAAAGAATCTACATAAAAAGATGCTATAAGCCTATAGCTTCAGTTCTCAGTTCTGGGTCGAAAATATGTTAAAATCAACAGTAGTTTTATTACCTAGTGGAACGTAAACATACTAAATTAATGGTATAGAAATACAATGGAAATACAATTAGGTAATATTGAATGCATTACAAAAGCGATCTCTAATTTTTTTTAAAAGGAAACAGGCAACGAATTATCGTTCAAGGCGGTTCGTATAGTTCCATGCCACCTGATAAGAAAGAAGAGTATAAGAGAGCAACAAAAGAGTCTGCTAGGGCAGGATATGCCAGATTGATGGTAATTATGTTCCGAATAATGAATGTGATTTACCTTTTACGGTTTTAGGCCCTACCGTACATAATATACATAGTATTATAGTACTATATCCATATAGTATTATAAAAACTTATTTAATGAATGCTACGAGTATAAACTCTTTCTTGCAAACTCGATATTAATCTATTGAGCGCCAGCGCTCTCCCCTGGTGTAAAATCGTCTGGCATTAGACAGAGTAAAATAATAAAATAAGGTAAATTAATGGGTTAAATTACTTATTCCTTATCAGAACCGTGGCACAGCAGTTGACGCTGTAGAAGCAGCAGTACGTGTTTTGGAGGACAATGAATATTTTAATGCAGGTTATGGGTCGTTATTGAACAAGAATCGTGAAGTGGAATGCGATGCAATGATTATGGAAGGACACACGTTAAAATGTGGTACAATTATGTTTATAATTTATATGCTGATAACCATTGTTCGTAGCCCCAATTATATTCTGTGATGGTCACGGCGTTTTCGGCTCACGAATTAAGTGACTCTTCATTGCAGTACAAGTGTGCTGAAAGGGAAATATCAATAAAGGTTAAGTTTCTCCCGTGTGGAAGAGAGATTCACCATATTTTACAACCTTATTATAGATTTTCTTTATCGTTCTTAGAATAAAATATACGACAGCTCATTTTACCAAATAAACTGAATATGAAATTTGGCGCGGGTCATGAAGTTACCAGTTTTATTTTTTTCTCCTGCAAAATGTTACCCACTTTAAATAAAGCCTATTGTTGTTGTTGTCCTTCTCCTTCTTTTTCTTCTTCTTCTTCTTCTTATTATTGTAATACTTATTTTTGCTTACTTTTTTTACTTAATTTTCTAAATATCTGGCTAAAATTAATCCTAATAGACTGTTTAACATTCCCAGCTGGATTCCAAAGCTATCTTATCCCGAAGTTCAATTCAACCTTGACCCCCTCTGACTTACCAAGAAATTACTAATGTGATACGTAAAATTAAATCGTCTGGCTCTCCTTGCCCCTTTGCTCAGCTTTCGATAATATGTTTTAAGCGATGTCCTTATCTGATAACTTACCTCAGTGAACTAATTCATGAAGTTTGGCTATCTGGAACTGTCCCGAATGAATGGCAAAAAGCCTGTACTATATTTTTACATAAGAAAGGTAACACTGATGACCCGTCAAATTTCTCGTCCCATAACACTCGAGTCTTGTCTTCACAACGCAATATAGTCCTCTCTCGCATTAAATAACTTCATCAAATTTGGCATACAAAAGGGCTTCACCCCTAACCTATCTGGCACTCTAGAACACACTGCGCAAATGGCTGACATCATCAACAAAGCCCCGATCAGACAACGCGCTGTTGTCATCACCGTACTTGATCTGAAGAATGCTTTCGGCGAAGTCCATTATAATCACATCCAATCAGTACTCGACTACCATCACATCCCAGAGCACATAAAATTCGTTATAAAAAGTTATACACTGAGTTCCAAACCTCAATAATTACCTCCGAATTCCGCACCCCTTTTATATCTGTTGGCCGTGCCGTATTGCAAGGAGATTGTCTCAGTCCTCTTCTTTTCAATATGTGCTTCAATACATTTATCCAACATATAAAAGCTGAAAAGTACCGTCAGTTTGGCTTCTCCTTCAAGCTATTAAATCCTATCCACTGGTTCCAGTTCGCTGATGACGCAGTCGTAATCACTGGCCAAGAATCTGAAAACCAGCATCTCTTAAATCGTTTTTCCATCTGGTGCCAATGGTCCAATATGATTATCGGAGTCGATAAATGTATTACCTTTGGCATCAAGAAAGCGATCACAAAATCAGTCCAATATTTGCCGAAACTGCTCAACAACAATAATCTGATACCAACAATAAATATTGGAGAAGTATTTCAATATTTAGGACGTTACTTTGATTTTCGCATGTCGAACGTTAACGATAAGACTGAACTAACAACTCTCGTTAATGAACTAATGACTGATATTGACTCGAAGCCACACCACCCAAGAAATAAGCTTCTCGTGTACAGTCGTTATGTCTTATCCAAACTATCCTGGCATTTCACCATCGCAACACTTTCTAAAACATGGGTTGTTGAAAATATTGATTCCGTAGTCACCAATACATCCGCAAAAGGCCTGAAATTCCAATCTCAGAAACACTAGGTACTGTTTTTCTAATTTGCAACAAATTTGGTCAAAGTATTTATCCTCCATCGGTGAAATTTATCCAATGCCAAACAGTTCTTCGAAAAGCTTTAAAACGTTGTCCTAATCAATCAATCAATCAATCAATCAATCAATCAATCAATCAATCAATCAATCAATCAATCAATCAATCAACGAACTGTGGAAAAATATCAAATACGACTTTTACAACTCAACCAAAGAAGTGCTTAAAGATTTTCGGTCTGAACATGAAGATAAACTCCAAAACCAATTAACTTGTCAGGGATCCTTTTTCTCTAATGTAACAAATTCTCCTTGTCGCATCTTAACAAAGCGTGGTCTACTGCTCAAT